TTTTTTAAGTCAAGGCCCCTGTGACCTTAAATCAATAGGGGTCATCTACTAATCACGACTAACCTCCATGTCAAATATGAAGACTGTGGGTCAAAGGAATCTCAAGTTATTGGGAGGACAAGCTTTTTTTTAGTCAAGGCCCCTGTGACCTTGACCTTTGACCCAGTGACCCCAAAATCAATAGGAGTCATCTACTAATCATGACTAACCTTCATGCCAAATATGAAGACTGAGGGTCAAAGAATCTCAAGTTATTGGGCGGACACGTTTTTTTTTTTTAAGTCCATGCCCCTGTGACCTTGACCTTTGACCCAGTGACCTCAAAATGAAAAGGGGTCATCTATTAATCATGACTAACCTTCATGCCAAATATGAAGACTGAGGGTCAAAGAATCTCAAGTTATTGGGCGGACACGTTTTTTTTTTAAGTCAATGCCCCTGTGACCTTTGACCCAGTGACCTCAAAATCAATAGGGGTCATCTACTAATCATGACTAACCTCCATGCCAAATATGAAGACTGTGGGCCAAAGGAATCTCAAGTTATTGGGCGGACAAGCTTTTTAAAGTCAAGGCCCCTGTGACCTTGACCTTTGATCCAGTGACCCCAAAATCAATAGGGGTCATCTATTAATCATTACTAACCTCCATGCCAAATATGAAGACTGTGGGCCAAAGGAATCTCAAGTTATTGGGTGGACAAGGAAAAACCGACGGACGGACAAGGAGACGTCCAGCCGGCCGGACAAGCTGATTCCAGTATACCCCCCTTACAACTTTGTTGTGCGGGGGTTTAAAAATTTTGATCTGAGCTTGATATTTAATCAAATTCATTCAATTTTTCTTTCAATATTATAAAATTAAGACTTACACTGCTATAAAATTTTCCTGTAATTTGATTATAGTCTCATATTCCTTTTCTCATTAACTAAGTATTATTTTTCTGTTCCTTAATAATTCATTACAGAAATGAAACATCCTTTGAGCACTATTCTACATTTTCTTCATGATTGTATTTTAATTTTTCATTTAAATTATGTCAATATTTTTTGTCATTTCCTTAATGACTTTAAAGTTACATTAAATAAATATGTAAAAATATTTTGGCGTCGGCCTAATAACCAAGCATTCTACTGTTTTATTAACCTTTTTAACAGTATTGTTGTAAATCTCATCAAATATTGTTCATAAATTACGATTTTAAACGGAAAACCCCACAGTAACACTAAAGTTCGTATACGAATTTTAACATGCAAATGAAGACGATAATCAGTTCATGTATGTGCTACGTCACAGTGCTATAGTTGCTATACAGAACACAGCAAATACGAGATTTTCATGTGCATTACACACTTTAACCGTTTTAGCTTCATGGTGCACTTGGCATGGCGTTCAGGAAAGAGTAATCATCTCATAAAAATATTAAATTTGTATGAAAACAACCGTTGCAATGCGTAAATATACCGTTATATTAGGACTGCTACTTATCACCATGTTTGTTGATTTAATATTGATGTACGGATGACCCGAAGGTGGAGTTTCTCATGCAAATTCCGATTTCCCCACAATGAGGTCGCAGATGTTTATGCTTATTAAACTCATTTTGGTTGCCATGACACCATAATAAGATCTGGAGTCGATATGAAACCAAATTTACTAATGAAATGTCGCTATTTCTGTTTTTAAGAAATTCATTTAATGTAGCTTTAAACAAGAACATGTTTGTTAAACACAAATGCCTATGGCCCAGATTCTTGTCAGTAACGTATGTGTACCTTTAAACTTTTCTGTGAGAATGAACACCTTCAAACTGTGTGACCTTAACCTTGGAAGTAGGGACATGGGTCTTGGATGTGACACATTACCTTGATGTGGTTCACATTTATGCCAAGTTAATTGAATAACAAAGTTACAGTCCAGGCACGAATGTGTTCCTTCAACCTCTAGGTGTGACCAAGACCTTTTAGTAGCGACATAAGCCTTAGATACCACACACTGTCTTGATGTGGTAGATATTTGTGCCAAGTTATTTTAAAATCTTTCTGTGCATGACAAAGCTATAGTCCAGACACAAAACTCTTCTTGCGAAAATGAGTACTTTCAAACTGTACCTCATCTTGATGAGGTAGACATTTATGCCATTTGACCTCATTAAATATACACCACAAGGAGAAGTAATAGTTATAATAGACAAGTAGAAAAGCTCAAGCCATGCCTCTTGAACATAAATGTTCTGGCTAAATTTAAAGATGTCCATAGACTATCAAACATATCTCCAGCAAAGACAAACGCAGTATGCCTGCCAATCCACAATTGTGGGTGTATAAAAATCACAATGAATATTCTGTTGAACCGGATAATGTCTTGTCAGAAATATCTTAAAAGGCACCTGTGCATCACCACATTTGCAAAAAATCTTTTGTTTAAATACAAAACAAGCTCAAAAGAACAAGCCTCCAAGAACTAATTTCTATGGAATCTCATGGCATACAAAACGTCTCTATGTGGTACTAAAACAAAAAATACAGATAGACAGGATAAAGAAATACAAATTGAAGGTTACAGCAGACATTTCCTCAATTAAATCCTTAGATAATAATTAAGCCAAGATTTATCAACCTAAGGTCAACCAGTTTGTTTTATTCACATTAATGTGCCATATTCTACACAACAAAGCAGGATCAAATAACTTTGTCACATTTATAACATAATCAATTACATCAAATGCTTTGTTGTCCATTTTGATAGTTTTGCTATTTTAACTAGAAAATACATTAAAACTGCTATCATTGCTATAAAATGCAGTAAGGCTATTTTACTTCATCTAATTTTGTTGTGTTTATCATACATAGGGATGTAAATACTGTTGTGTTGAGTGTAAACCAATATCAAACTTTTTGATCATTTAAACAGAATATTTATAATACGTTTACATGTTGTACTGTCAGACCTTTACACCAGCAGTTGAAAGCGACATACATAAATGTTACATGCAACAGGTGAAATCATCTATAATAGTAAATACAGTAAATAACCTGAGACAACAATGTAACATAAAATACCCTTGGAACAGAAGTTGAAAACAACAATAAAGTAACAAATAATAACCTTGGACAAGAACCTGAAAATGTTTAAATGTCATGAAATGACCTTGGAACAGCAACTGAAAACAACAATAATGTAACAAATTATAACCTTGGACAAGCACCTAAAAATGTTTAAATGTCATAAAATAACCTTGGAACAGCAACTGAAAACAACAATAATGTAACAAGTAATAACCTTGGACATCAGTACGTAAAAATGTCACAATGTCATAAAATGACCTTGGAACAGCAACTGAAAAAAAAAACAATAATGTAACAAATAATAACCTTGAACAAGCACCTAAAAATGTCACAATCTCATAAAATAACCTTGGAACAGCAGTTGAAAACAACAATAATGTAACAAATAATAACTTTGGACAAGCACCTAAAAATGTCACAATGTTATAAAATAACCTTGGAACAGCAGTTGAAAACAACAATAATGTAACAAATAATAACCTTGGACAAGCACCTAAAAATGTCACAATGTCATAAAATAACCTTGGAACAGCAGTTGAAAACAAAAATGTCACACACAATTATGTTGGAACAGCAGTTGAAACAACAATGTCACAGAAATTAACTTTGAACTGGAAGTTGAAAACATCAATGATGTTGGTTTCCCAGCTTTACAAGTGGAAGAGGAAGACCTCAGGTGCACCTCCATGCAATATAAATTTCCATTTATATAACAGAAGGGCAAAGATTGCTGTATTACTTAAGAAATACTTTGCTTTGTGGCCATGTAGATAGGTAAAATTTTAAATTACTACAAATAAATCATAAAATGTCAACATTTACAAATTAAAATGATTCAAATTTTTATTCCGAGGAGACAGAAGCAATGCCTGAAAGTAGACATTGTTGATATTTAAGTTACCTTAGACAGTGCACATGGCAGATATATAGCCCTCAGTGGGCTGCTTCTTGTGAAATATGAGTATTTTCAGTAATACTGTCTGTCATATCTTACCAGAAACAACAAAGAATAAACCTACAGGCTATGACCAAAAAATAATGGTATTCATGGAATGTGACATAGTGGTTTATGGAAAGTCTATGGATATTCTGTATATGACAGAATGAGCCAGACAAGAATTTTCTGCCTTAACATTCAGATTTGATAGACAGTTTTTGTCTGATAACAACCGTATGATCAACCAATTAATAAATAAAGTGCATGGAAACCGTAACTTGCAGTAATAAGCATAAAGCACATAAAACTCAACTTGCGATCTCTAAGACTCTGTACTTAGGAAAGTTCACAGAAAACTTAACTATAGCAAAGTTCACAGAAAACCTAACTTGCAATTGCAAATACCCTGTTAGAAAACTAAACTTGCAATCTCTAAATTCCTATAATCAATGAAGTGCACTTAGAACTTAACTTGAAATCTCCATTTGTTAAATAAGTAAAGTGCAGTGCACAGAAAACTTAACTTGCAACTTCTAAAACCCTGTAACAGGTAATGTGCATGGAAAACTTAACCTGAAATCTCTAAAACCTTAATGGTAATAAATAAGTAAAATGCACAGAAAACGTAAATTGAAATCTCTAAAACTGTAAAAAGCAAAATGCATGGAAAACTTTGAATCTCTTAAACCAATTTTTTTGCAATAAGCGAAGTGCATAATTATTTAAGATTAAGAAACAATCTCTAATATGGGAAATTAAGTTAATTACGCAAGACTTTGAAAATAGTCTTCTAAACATTATTTGACATCCCATAGACAAATAAACATGATCTTCGTTTAAAAAAAATTTTCTCAGCAAAACCTTTTTAACATTTCGACCACCTGATTTGATAACCTTATGACCAAAATTCAAAACAAGACAGATTTTAAAATTGCTTAACTTTTAACTATTGTATAACTAAAATCATATCAATAAGTTTCATAAAGAAAAACTTACTTTTCAAGTTTATGAAGATGTGGTGCACGCCTACTTACAGCTGACCCAGCTGATGGTGTGAAAGGTGTTTCATCTTTACTTTCTTCACCTGAACTCGGAACCACATTATATGTACCAGCATCTATAGACAAAACATCTGCCTTACAGTCTGGATTTCCAGCCTTTGAATTTGCAGTACAATCTCCAACTGTTGCAGACAATAATTCTTTATTCTCATATTCTGTATCACCTACAGCAGGTTTTAACTCAACATCAGACTTTCTTTCTTCCATATTCTTTACACTGTCTATTTCCAAACCATTGTTCACACTGCTATTATCAGTTACTTGTTTAGATACCGACTCAATATCTGCTGATTTTTTTTCTTCCATATTTCAATCTTTTTTTTAAAAAATATCAATTAATGTGAATCAATCTTTCAGAAATATTAAGTTTTTTTATTTAATTATTTTCCAATGAAATAAAAGCCTCTGTATTCAATTTCCAGCCTAATTGATTGCCATTTTTCAAATATCAATCAATAACTCGGTACCAATCAATAAACATCTTGAAACAATACTTTCAATATGCTTCATTTGATCCAAACTTGGTTTCAAAATTTCTAATTAATTGCAATACATGCTTACAGTTTGGTATTTTCTATAATAACTCCATTAGATTATTCTGGGCAAGCAAAAGACTACTGCACTAGACTATAATGTAGATATGAGAATATTTTCCAATAACTTCTATCAAAACATACAGTCTAGAAAATTAACCAAAATAATTCCATTGTTGCACTGCAGCATAAAACAGAAAATGCTTTGACACTTGCAAGATTAAACCCTAAAAAAATGTCATCAAATATCCAATTGTTGAGAATTGTTATTGAGTCAAATAGAAACAATAAACATGTCAATCTAAACTTGTTTTGTAGGGAAAATAGCAAGGTTGACTTTGCTTTGAAGCAATATTAATCATCAGATTTGCAAATAATTGCTTTTTCATTTGAAGAGGGTAACACCTAGTTTAGATCAAATTAGGAAAAAATATCTGCCCATACCTTACTAATTACTAATGACTATGTGAACAGAATTCCTCTAGATTTCTCTTCGAAACGCTTCAAATCCATCTTGTTCAATTAAGTTAATCAGTTCTCCCTCAATTTCAAGAAACTGGAAACCTATATTATAATTATTGCAATAGAAATAAAAAACAATGACAGAAGAAATATCATAATTGTCAGAACAGTTAGCCTATTATGCTTTTGTAAAGGCATAACATTAATAAATTGATCCATAAAATCAGTTTAACAAAACTTCACTACATATTTTCTTGTTTTACTTTTCAAAAAACAAAAACAAACAAGAGCTGTCAGTAAGACAGCTCGCTCGACTTTTTTATTGCTTGCCAATAAAAAAAGTTTTTGCAGTAAAAGGCAATACAAGAATCTCTGTATTTTTAAAGTGAACAATGGCCATGAGCATTAAGATATTTAGTGAAGAATTATTTTACTGAATTGTGTGATACCCTTGAACACTGCAGCAAAGTTTGAAATGTTTAAGTCAAAAGAGGGCTGGTAAGAAAGAAAAAAAAACTAGTTGTTTGATACCCTTGAATATTACAGCAATGTTTATATGACATAATTTATGGTAAAGTGAACAAGTGGATAGGAATGAATTTTTTTAGATTTTTTAAGTTTTTTAGTGCTTGCCTATAATACAAAACATTGACAGTTAAGGGCCATAATTCAAATAAAATCTTTGACAGAATTACCTTCTCCTGGACATGTTTGGGAATCATGATTGTAAACAAGTATTCCAACTTTCAAATTAATATCTCAAACAGTTCAGTCAAAAAGTGGACTGGTACTAAAAACTTAACCAAGATTCTAAGTCGATAAAAGGCCTTAATTTTTAAAACAAATCCTTGACAGAGTTACCTTCTCTTGCGTACAGATGGGGGTAATGATGTGAAATAGCATTAAAAGTTTCAAAGCAATATCTCAAAGGGTTAAGGCAATAAGTGGATTTTACCCATATTCAATGTATTTTCTAAGTCAAAAAGGGGCATAATTCTGTCAAAAACCTTGACAGAGTTATGTCCTCTTGTCTGTTGATGAAGGTCGTGATGGTAAACAAGTATGGTCAGTTTCAAAGCAATACCTCCAATGGTTTTGAAATAAAGTGAGGTGGTACAAAAAACTTAACCAAGCTCAATACACTTTCTAAGTCAAAAAAGGGCCATAATTCTGTCAAAAACCTTGACAGAGTTATGTACTCTTGTCTGTAGATGGAGGTTATGATGGTGAACAAGTATGGTAAGTTTCAAAGCCATACTTGTAATACTTCTGAAATAAAGTGGGGTGGTACGAAAAACTTAACCAAGGTGTGACGCCAACGCCGACGCCGGGGCGAGTAGGATAGCTCCCCTTTTCATAGAAAAGTCGAGCTAAAAAACAACAGATGATTATTCCAACAAATTGCAGGTTTTGTTAACAGCAGAATATTCAAATCTTTTAGAGTATAATGCTGGATCTAATGAAGTATTTTTATAAAATTTATAAACTGTTGTGTTCTTTCCTCTTATGGTATTCAAAGTGTACCAGGCTATATCACAGGTAAACTTTAGTGTTTTAGTGTGTTTTACTGGTGAGAGTTTTACCGAAACGGTGCAATCAGATCTCTTCCGAGTTTCATTTGTTGACAGTTTGGGCTTGGATATTTCTTGCTACGTATAATCAGCGAAGGTGCCATTGTTGTTTTCTTAAAGAGTATTTATTTATCTAAGATTTGAGACCAAGATTGTTAAGATTGGTGAAAAATTGATGAATATATGCGCTGATAATCGAGATGCTAGTGATATTTCTATGCAAAATGAAAGTAGAGTAAAATACCTTTATAATATTTAAGTCATAAAAAATTTTTTTTTATAATTTTTTTTAGGGTTTTGGGTTGTAGAGGGGGAACGGGGGTTTAGTGTAAGTCATGGCCACGCAACGTTTACCTGTGGGCTATATCAAATAAAACTGTCTTCACAAAATTGATGAACACTAAAGTTATTTCTATAATGTTATAGCCAACTTTAGAAAGAATTATAATATAGAATTTTTCTGTTATCTAACACATCATGTGAGTGAATATTGTAGGTGGACAGAATAAAATGTCTCGGAATTAAATATCATGCTGCTATTTCAACAATCAGAAATGATTTTATGCATGCATTATGTCACCTTATGATATACAAGCATAATTCTATCATGCAGGTATTTTGAAATTCTGCTTCTTCAAAATTAAATTCAAAACATAATGATTTTCAGAAAATATAAACTTTTTAAATAGACAAAAAAAAAGATCAATACAAAAATTAGATTCTTATCACCTGAAAAAGTATAGTGCTAAATGTGAAATAATCTTGTCATTAATGCTTACAATTAATTAGCAAATCTAATAGCAATTAATAAGCAAAATGTTTAACAATGTGATGATACTTTGACTTCCAGACAAAATACTTAATCACTATCAATGTATCTTATCAAAATGCAGAAAATTTAGGCTCAAAAAAGTTCAGCTTTACTGCCAAAGTGTAACATTTTAGAGATTGTAAAAAGAAAAAAGAAAAAGAAAAAAAGTTATGTTTTGAGATACAGAAATGATATCATTTTAGGTGCTTCATGGGCCTTTTAAAGATTTTTTTCTCAAAGTTTATACTTATACCAATAAAGCAGGTAAGCCTACCGAAGAAAAGCCTGCATCATGGATACTGACTTAATTCTCCTACAAACCTATTTTTGCAAATATAGCTAATTGGCAAAATTGTTCACAGTATTCATGAAACTGGTATTACCTAGGGAGCTTACTGATTTCAAGCTAATCCATTTATATGATTATTTTCTTTAAGAAATACCGTCAGCCAGGAATCGCAATCAAAGAAAATTCATTTAAAAGGCAAAGAAGGGAGAATTTTTTCTTTAACGACATTTTTTTTCTTATTACACCTACATAGTATAATTTACAATATATGTCTGGATTGTAGAGAAAATAATGTAAGAGTTGCTGTTTTATAATATCATGTTACTAGTTTTTATCGTTAAGGGGATAAAATAACATATTTTTTCTTCTTCGACAGGTTTTCAAGTAATTTTTAGGCGATCACCATCATTACCAGCATTGTTAAAATCACAATCAACACATATTTTACACTTATTTGATAGCTTTCTCACATGTAACAATATTCTTAATTTTGTTGTCTTACCACTTTGAACAAACTTTACATAATTATATTCTCCCTCTAATGAAAATTAAGAAAAAAGTAAAGAAAAATATTTAAAGTGAGACACAGGCAAAATTTTCATTTCTTAGTTTTGAATATTTCATTCACTATTCTGTAAATGCGCTCAAAATGAATACATTAGACAGTCAAAGGAACTAAACTTTTCTCCATATAAAGAATAAAATGATGGTTTCCTAACCCGCCTGGGTCAGGTTAGAGCGCTTGGATTTCACAATAGTCGTCACAATGACCTCTATAAACGTTAAAGAACATGTCAAGTGAATGACTTAGACTTGTTTCAATCATACAATATCCACAATATCTGTTATTTAACTTCAAGGGTTTGTTCAAGACACATGACTTGTTTTAAAACTATTCAGTGATTCTATTGGCGTCTGAATTTTGTCCATCATATATAGATATATTAACGCTTCAAACCCAAAATATATAGAATTTAAACAGAAATTCAAGGTGGAACTGTAAGAAATGTCATTTTGGCATGATTAATGTTCATCATTTTAATATTTTTGTCATTATTTTGCAAAAATATCCCTTTAAGATAGGAGTACAAAGATCAACAAGGGAGAGCATTGTGTATACAGAAACCAGCCCCTGACAAGACTGATAGTACCCTAACTTTACATGTTTTCAAGTTTATACTAAGTAATTCATATACTACATCCAAACTTGTAAGACAGTGACTACATCAAAATTTGTATGCATCGAATTAGGTTGGGAAACTATGAAGAATTGAGAGAGGAGAAATAAAAATACACAATCATTTCAAACCTTTATTTCTTAAATGAACCGAGATGAATTTGCTAAACAATAAGTAGAGGAAAACAAAAAAAAAGAAAACTCACGGATGTTGTATAAATATTGAATAAATGCAAAAGCAAACCCCCAGGTGCACAGCAACACAATGCTGACCAACATTTCTGTAAAGTTTGATGACTAGGTCAAATACTTTTTTGGCTATGAACAATAAAAATTGAAAATATTTACTAAGTCAATGGCAATAATTCTAACAACACATGAAACCCCAGTGCATAGCTTCATAATTATGCTGGTCAACATTTCTGTCAAGTTTGTTATACATGACACAACATTTTGGAATGGACAGATGGACAGACAA